GGGGGGGGGGGGGGAGGGGAAGGGTTGGGATCTGCACTGGGAACAGCAGACCCAGTACAAATGAGATCATGAGGACCTATCTACCTGGAGCAGGTAGATTTTTTTGGATTTTTTTTTTATCTGTAAAGAATTAGCTTTAGATTACCTTGGTGCTTTTTGAAGAAGAAAAGCTGTTAGGCACAGCTTATACCATACATATTTTTAAAATTACATTTTATTTTATTTTCAGACCCATATTCTTTTCCTCCTATCCCTGCTTCCCACTGAGAAAGCAAGAAAAACAAAACCCATTATAAACATTATATATATCATATATTTATATATGATATATAAACAAGAGTATGTATTTGCCTGTATATGTATGGCTTGAGATTTTACTGGTACAGGGAATTCCCAATGAAGAAATTCTCTACCAATGTAGAGCAGCCCTGTTGTGACACTTCAAGCCTCAGAGATTTACCCAGATAACAAACTCTCATTGTTTCATTTTTGGCCCTTGTTTTTAATTTTGTGTTTTCACTTTTGTCTGGATAATGGGCCATGCCTCAGTTTGGTCAAGTCCTCTTATTACACAACATTTTGGTTTCCAAAGTTAAAGACCTTGGCCAATTTTTTACTATGCTGCCAGCCTGTCAAAACAGTGATACCCAGACTGGTTCCAGATCAACACTCATCTGTTGTAGCCATGTTCCAGGGCAGTGTCCATGTTCTGACCTGGCAGGAATGACGGATTCACTTTTCTGCCTAATCCTTTGCCCTGGAAGGAGTTAAAATTCTTCCTTAGTTTTCTTTTAGAAAAGCCAGAAAGAATGCTGCTTCCTGGATAGTTCTCCCCTATACCCCTACCTCAATTATCCAGAATCACTGGGAAATTTTTAAACCTTTTGAAGAAGTAGTATCTCAGATGTTGTTTCAGGAGTATTTTTAATAGTCTATATTTTGTCTTTCAAGGCTCCGAAATTTTGTCAGTATGAGAGCTACCTCCACTTATAAAAACTGGAATCCCTCCATTGTAAGTAGAAAGTCTGTGGGAGTTTCTGTGGCTGGAAAAAAAAATTCATCTGGTAACCAGTTACGTGTCCGGGTTTAGCTAAGCCTTTTGAACTTGGCTGGGTTGGTCCCACGACAGCAGACGCACATTATTTCACAGGCTTCTTCAGCATGGTAGGACCAACCAGGGCTTTTCCACATAGGTTGGGCTATATTGGACATGCCCTTTAATAAGCTGTGTTGTTTCATTTTGTGACTTGTTAGAAATGGTGTAAAAGACATCATAAATTGTGATTGACACAGTCATGCAGGGAGAAGGAAAAGAGCAGGAAGAGAGCCTGAGATGCTTCACTAGCCTTCCCCAAAATGGTAAAAGAACAAAAGAAAAATATCCAGCAAATCAAGTGGTTCCTCTGTGGAGGATTTATCTAAACACACGGAAAAGAAGTACACAGAGTAAGTGTGTGTGGAAGGAGCCATCTGCATGGATGACATGGGGCAGGGGGAGATACCCTGATCCCCATAAGTATCTGATTCCTTCACTTGACTTAACCTGTCCATTCCTTGACTAACAAGTTTTTCATGCGTATTTGCTATTAAGCTTTAATAACATACTAGGTGTTGTTTAGAACAAGGTATATAATTGTGTTACTATGACAACTTACAATAACTCACATTTACAAGTTACAAAGGGCCTTCATTCTAGTGCCTTCCCTCTGCTGGTAACCCCAATTTGTCCAGTCTATATCTTGTTTGTATATAGTTATTTGAATGTCTCCCCAGTTAGACTGTGACTTCCTTGAGACATTGTCTTTTGAATGCCTGTTGTGTAGCACTGTGCTCGGCACACAGTATTTGTTTATAAATGTTGACTGACTGACTTCACAACAATTCTTGGAGGTAGCACAAATAATATGGCCATTTTACGGATGGGGGTGGTGGGAAATAACGCTCCAAGAACTTGTGGTTTGCTCAAAGTTACAAAGGATGTCGCAGAGCAGTGACTGTGATGTAGGTTTTCAGACTCTTAAGTCCCTTGCTCCTTTAACTACAATGTTCTTGGATGGGTCTGTGATCTTGACATAGGCCCTCTCCCCAGTAATGTAGATTGCAGTCCATCTTGTACATCTCTTGTCCATGTCTTCTTGTAAATCCACCATCAAGAAGCCTACCCCGCTTGACGGGGGTCTTCCTCTAATTTGTTGCATGGATGCCAATGAAATATGCAGACTGTCTATCACACATCCCTTGCTTGTCACATGACCAGCTCATTTTTCTTCCTCCAGTAGTAAATTTCTTTGACATTATAGAAAAATACTGAGAATGGCAAGATTAATAACAGCCATTATCATTATTGTATTAATATGTATTAACATAATCCTGTTCCTCCAGTAGAGTTTGTTGGCTTAATTGATAGATTGGTCATTGGGACAAGGTTCTTACATTTCAAATATGAACAGCTAAGCTAATATTTAGAGTTGGTCTAAAACTGATCCTTGGCACTGTTATCATTGGCATCCCCTCATTGTATCATGCAAATTGAAGGGACACAGAACAGAAGGCCATCTTGGGTTTTATTTGCTTCATTGCTTTCTTTGTTTCATAGCCAAAGAATTCATCACCAAGTATCTGGTCTCCTGGTGATGAGCCTCTCCATACTTAAGTAGGCTGGTTCTGCAATAGCATAGCAGATGTAATCTGTCATTGGGTTTGTTCTCAATGCCTTTCCAGCATTGAGCTCTGCTGTCACAGCCTTCAAGAATGCAGGGTCACCTCTGTACCACAATGAGGCCATGAAAAGTGAGACTGTACTGCACTGTCTTTCAAACCAGATGCTGATTCAGCCTCATGAAGGCCCTGGGAAAGGTCATTCTTACCCCTGAGGGAGACTGAATTTCACAGGGTGTAAAGACTTGAAAAGAAGGAGTGTTCAAAATAGTAATATATCAAAATGTCTTGCTCCAGCATACAAAGCCTCCATAGCATACCAGTGGGTCACAAGTGTGTAATGAGTGCCAGTGGTGAGCTGTAGTTGGCTACCTAATATTGTTGTCCACCCTGCGCGCGGCAGTCCCATGTTATGAGGCTGGCCTGGACTCTTGCCATGGTGGGTTTGGCTTTGGGGCCTTCTTTCTTTGAGGAGACCTGATCTGCTTGAGATGGGCTCTGAAATTCCCACTTTTCTTTGCTCTTTGGCCTTTCCTGGATCGGAATAGTGCAAATTGAGGCAAATGTAGTTCCTTGGTACCGTGTGGCATTTCCCTATTGTGGTTTCTACACTCTCCCTACATTTGTGTAACCAGTAAAAATGAAACAGTCTTCTGAAATGCATGAGCTAGTTTTGGAAGAAGGTACGCTGAGTAGGAGCCATCACAAGCAGTATTAAGAATAGGTGTCCCCTGCTTTGGGTGGGGTCTTCGACTCTGATTCTTGTGGGGAGCAGGGATTGAACTTTCTGCAAAGGCCTTTTCTAGACATTTCTGTATAAACAAATGCATAATGTGAATATTTATAGTAAAGCAAAGGTTTTTTAAAGTGAATTTTCTTTCCAGTTGTCTTTATTTAAAAGAAACAGCTCTTCCTCTTTACTACTTCCTAGAGTGGAGAACTGCTGGGGAGGAAAGAATAACACCTTGCAGTGATTCTTACTTGAGGATTATATATTCAAATCTCCAGCTATTTTCCTGAACAAGCCAGAGAGTTCCAAACTTTGCCCAATTCCTTCAGCTACCTTTAGAAGGTTTATCTTCAAGTCACCTTAATTTCTAGCTCTGATATACTTCTCTTCCTGTAGGTTATTCCTAGCTCCTTTGGATTAATTAAGGAGGTTACGCTTGTGAGTGTGATTTCTATATGTCCCCTTTACTGTAACCAGGTGGAAAAAAACAACAACTTTTCCATGCCACACACACTGTACCTGCCAGTGGTTCCACAAATAAATAACAGAGGTAACCCCAATCGATTGCCAAAACTTGAAAATAACATGCCTTTTCCAGAACATGATAGTGGATCACTAGCAGCCCCTTCCAAAAGAGAGCAATATATCTCCAAGTATAAAACATGGAAGCATATTGTGGTCAAACAGGGCAACCAGGTGGCGCCATAGTGTCTAGAGTGCCAGGCCTGGGGTCAGGAAGACTCATTTTTGCGTGTTCAAATCTGGCCTCAGACACTTACTGATTCTGGGCAAGTTTGCCCCAGTTTCCTCATCTGTAAAATGGGTGGAGAAGGAAATGGCAAACCACTCCAAGTATCTTTGTCAAGAAAACCCCAAATGGGGTGACGGAGAGTAAGACACGACTGAAAACCAACAAAACTAGTCAAAGGCATTAGCAGATATCAGTAAGATCAGTTGGAAGAAGGACTCTCTATAGACAGAAAGGTTTTCCAAGTCTTCCTGTTTATGAATGACATGAGAGGAATCGAGTACTGGATAAGGTACTGGACTTCGAGTCAGTCCAAAAGCCTGTGGACTAGGTATTATGCTAAGCTCTGGGGATTCAAAGAAAGGCAAAAGATAGTTTATATCCTCATTGACTAATGGGGAAGGCAACATGCAAACAATTATGTATGAACAAGTTATATAAAAGATAAATTAGAGTTAATCAACAGAGGAAAGGTTCTAGCATTAAGGAGGATCAGTAAAGGCTTCTTGGAGAATAGGAGATTTTAGCTAAGACTTGAAGAAGCCAGGGAATTCAGGAGTGGAGAAGGTGAGCATTCCAGGTATGGAAGACAGCCAGTGAAAATGCCTCAGGTTTGGAGAAAGAATGTCTTGTGTGCGTGAAAGCAAGGAGGCCTTTGCAACTGGATGGCAGCGTACATGGGAGCGGTGTAAAGTGGGAGGGGGGAGGAATAAGGTGTAAGAAGATTGGAAAGGTAGGAGGGGACTAGGTTGTGAAGG